ATTGACACAATTATTTGATGCAATTAATTGAGTCACTATTAAAACATAAATAATTGAGTCATGACACAATTATTTTTAAGGATTTTGGGAATTGAGTTAACAGCAAAATAATTTATGCCACATGTATAAGGGTAAATAAAAAGTTTATTTTGGTAAATAAAAATACTCCAATATTAACTTCGATTTATTAGGATAAATCCTTTACTACTACTTGCAATCGAACAAACCATTTAATTTCTATTATTTTCTTGCTGACCAAGAACATTCAAGATACTTATTACAAAACTTACATCCTGCTTGAAACAAGTCTTACACCCATTGGAAATTATTGTTTGAGACAAGACTTACACTAATACTTACTGCCTTCTTGGAATAATCAACAAAAGAAAAAGCTTCTTACTGAATTGGAATGAGACTTCTTTTGATCTTGAAGAGAAAAGAAATCAGTCTTAAAGGGGAGAAGAGAATATTATAATACTTCTTAACAAAAAGAGCATTTTGTCACTTCACTTTTTTCACTATGTCCAATTGTATTATTAGGTTTTGTATTGTACGAGATAAGGCATATAAAAGTTATATATCTTGTTTATATTTCTTGCTACATGTAGATCAACCAATCCTAAATTTGAACCAATCACCATTTAAGGATTCTGATGTAATCAAAAATTCAGGGTCAAACTGTTATAGGCAGAATTCCTCAAAAAAACCAGAAAAAAGTTTATATGCTTGAAAAGATAGGAGGAAGCTTGAAGAAGATAAGAGAAGAGTTCCAAAAACTGTGCCAGTCTTTTCTAGAGTCTTGAATCTCTGGAGAAAGAGAGAAAAGTATTTTTTCTATATGTTTTTTTTTCTAACAAAGTTTTCTTGCTTTTAACTTTATAGATAAATATTTTTTGTATTTACTTGCAGAAATATAAGAAGTTTATATCAAAGAAAGAAAGGAACAAGTGGAGGAGACTATAGTTTCTTGGTATAGGTGTTGTTAATAAAAGTATATAGACTTTGTTATAAAGAAATATAAAAATTTCCTTGGAACATCTGTTTTTTGTGTTGGCAAAGAAATCAGCGGAAAGAGTTTTTTTTTTATAAAATATTTATTACATTTAATAAATATTATTAAAAGTAGTTTATTTTTTTATTTTATAAAATAAATTTTTAAAAAAATTTAAATATTTAAAAACTTTATGTTTAATATAAAATTTATGTTTTAATCAAATTATAAATAATTTTTTATACTTAATAAATTAATAATAAGTATTTTATTATTTTATTATAGAAATATTATAAAAATAAAAATTAATACATTGTTTAATTATTTATAATTTATACTATATATACAGTAAATTAATATTTTAAAGTTTTTTTATTTTAAATTAATTTTTATATTTAATTACAAAAATTTTTAAGTCTATTTCACTATATCAAGATTTTTATATGTTTCCACTATATCAAATATCCATTATATCAAATTTCACTATATATATATATATATTATTTTTTTTTATAATAGAAAAATCTTGTCACTTTATTAAATTATAAAATTTGAAAAATTATTACATGAAAAAAGTAATATCTCTCATGACCATCGGTCACTGAATTTAATATAATATATATTTATTTATTATAAACAAGTATAAAATATATAATCTTATTTTAATAATATATTTACTATTATTTAATAATAATTAATTATAAAATCAATTATAAACAATTGATTATAAAGTATTTATACGAAATTTTTAATTAATAATAAATACATATTTAAAAAAAAAACGGTTGATATAATATATAAATTACAAAATAGGTAAAAAGTTTATTAAAATAGTTATAAGAAATAAATCATAAGTCATTTAATGTATATGATTATGATTTTTCAAACATTTATTAAAATCAAATAAATAAGTAATTAATGATATATGAGTTTATGGATTGAAATATGCTGTATTAGATATTATTTTAAGATATTTTAAATTTCTGATTTTAAATAACAAGTTATTTAAAAATAATGTAAATAATTTTTATATTATATACAGTATATACAGTATATACGTATATGTGTTTGATAACGAACAATATGGGTAATTCTTTTTGAAGGCGGACAGGGACTTTATAATTGTACTCCTAGAATTTATATTGTATATGTATTGTTCAAAAAATAGGGATCAAAAAATCGTATATAACATTTTTGTCGTTTTCAAAAAGAATCAGCCATATACAGTTTTTAAAAAAACAATAAATGATGAATAATTGTAAGTGCCTTTTTGTTCTCATTGTTAAATGCGCATATATCTAACAATAACAATTTAACAAGTTTAACTAATGTAATCGTGTACGTGTATTCTCAACGATTTATTCATCTCATAATCGTTGATTGTGTTGATCGAATTTGGTTGATTAGATAAAGACTATCATGTGAAAATATTTATTGTTGTAAATTTCGAAATAAACAAAAACATGCATTACTATTTAATTATATTCATAATTATCATCTATGATATTAAATAAGAATAATCTAGTTATTAATAACCATCATGCTTTTGAAGAAAAAGATCTGGGAAACAAACGATACGATTAATGCTGACACCCTCAAGTTAACTTGTTCACAAAATAGTTTTCATAGAACTTGTTGACAAAAACATATACGTACGTACATGAGACAGGTTAAACCAAGATTTGACCAAAAATTTTTTTAGATTTATGTTGCCATTTTTATATACCAAAAATGGATCATAAAAACGAGGGACGCTTAATGCAGGGATCACGCAACCCGGTCCGCTTCTAAGCAGTGTGTTAATCAAACACACTGCGAATGGGAGGTGCTTGATCTTCTGAGCTTGTTTTTCCAACTTTGTGGCTTTAAAGTTCGGATATTATATTTATAGAATAACCAGAGATTTACCGTTTAGTGTCTATGCGTCCCACAGATCTCTAAGCGGAAATGCCTTGACCCTAGATAAGACATTGTTCGTGCTTTTGAGATGATCATTTTTATAAATACATTAAATAATATATTTCAGGAATCTCCAAAAAAAAAAAAAAAAAGAAAGAAAAAAATTTTTTTCCTTTTTTTTTTTTTTGTTGGCTTTTAGTTAGAAGAGAAGGCGTATCTAACTCGAATTCTTTCTACATCGCACCAACAAACACTGCGTCGGTGTTTACGATTGAGAATGGAGAATTGAATACAGATAACGAACAATTGTAATCTATTGTAAACCTTCGATTACGTTTTCTTCGGGAAACATCGGCATGCTCAATCGGTTGAAAACGCTTTGATGATGTAAATGGTACCATTGTGTAGTGTCGCCGCGATCTTCGTGCAATTGTAATTCCATTTTATACTCATTATGTCATTTCCCAAAACGTGACTTTCGCGTATCTTATATGTTTTGGCATCAATTATGTGCAAAAGGTTGTCCGCCGATCCGGTTGCAAAGTACAGTCCGTTCGAGCAAAATTCAATCGCATTGATGTGTGACTTGCACGGAGAGAAGTCACGTAAGCAAATTCCCTCCAGTGCACTCCAGATTCTTACCACTCCGCTATTCTGTGAGGTGGTAAGCAGCAAATTTTCGTTGTCATTCGATTTTGGATGCCACTCTGCGCAAGTAATGGGACCATCTTTGGCGTATAGTGTTCGCAAGGGACTTTGATTCTTCTCTGACCAAATTTTGCACTTTCCATCCTTTGAACAGGAGGCCAAATAGTTCTTTGTGGGATCCCATTTGATGGAAAAGACTTCATCGTCGTGACCGGAAAATTCCATGATTGGCTTGTCTCTCATCTTATAATCCCATAGAAATATCTTCTTATCTTTGGAACAAGAAGCGAAGATCTTATCGTCTTTCCAAGCGACATCGGTAACGGTGTCCTTGTGCATTTCAGCGAAGCGCATAGCCTGACCATCCCTGTTCCAACAAATTACATTCTTGTCGACGCTAGCAGTTAAAGCTCTGTATCCTCTCGGACTCCATTTTATTTTTAAAGTACTTTCACGATGCTCTTCAAGTTTTCGATGTAAAAGACCGCTATTTATTTTGTAAACGGTCGACAATCCGTTAAAGTATGAACAAGCAATTAAATCATCTTGGGTAGGATGCCAATCTAACCAAGTTATGAACGCAGTTTGCGTAGTATCAATTTCATTAAGCCAAGGAGGGTATTCAATTTTTCGTGGTTCTTGAAGTTTTCCACTGGGCTCGGGTATATTCCATATACGTAAGATCCCATCTTGCCCACCGGTCGCTAACACGTCCTCATTTGGTTTCCATGAAAAAGAAACCAATTCTTCACCGGGAACCTTTAATAATAAATGATTGGGGGATCCTTGTTTGTGAACGGTTGAATTCGTCATCGGTGAAGTTCGATCGTTCAACGATTTTCTTGTAGGAAGCGACGAACCAATTGGCAGGCCGTATGAGGGTGAAGTAACGTTTTTATTGAGTGGTGAAGGAGAATTGGCGGGAAGATCAATGTCCATGTCGTCATTATTATCATTCTGGTTACTCTTTAATAAATTGTTTAAGTCACTATTTTGTTCACTTTGACGTGGATCAATATTTTGAGCATCTCTTTTACGTTCCTTTTCCAAGAGATTTATCTCTTGATCTGTGACTTCCAGCTTAACCTCTGGGTCATTCGTCCTGGCCGATTCTTCTTCAGAAGAACTTCTTGGATCAAGTCTTTCATTATCGTTGTCTTGTATTAACATATTTTCTTCCGTTGAGTGAGTAGGGGTTGATGGTGCTTCACATTGATGAGTACCTATCAGCTGCACGGGAACTTGACAATCTACGGTTCGTCCTTCTGGGCTCGTGTGTAGAGCCAAATCTCTGAGTTGCAGCCCTTCTTGAATGATCCTGACTAATTCACCAGTTTTTATGTCAGTCTCCTTGAAACCCCGTTGATTTGCTTTACTTTCTTCATTGAAAACCCAGGCAGAATGATCAAAACTCGATTCTCTTAGATAACGATAGATAAGATAATTTACTTGATCGCTCGAAAGTGCTATATGATTCATTTTTTTTTTTTGCAAGGTAAAGAAATATTTTATAATGAACTTATTTATCTGTGCGTACCTGTTTGATTTTTACTGGCCGTGCGGAGAACCAATCACAGACAAAATAGTTAATGTCACATGACAAGAATTCAACGTCCTTGTGTCTGACGTCATCACATCGGGTTTCTGTCGTCGAATGACGAACTTCGTAGACGCGCCACTTTAATTCCTTGACGATTTAAAAAAAACGACCAACGCTCCGATATATTTAGTAATAGTGAATAGGTGGCTCACCACAGAAGGTCACCATATTATCTGCTCTTTGAAAAAAAATTCCCCTCACCTTTGCATTGTTCGGGGCATAAAAGCAGATTTCGTAGGTGATCTTCGTTTTTATTTAGTTTCACCGTCACACGTTCACACAATGCATATCGACAAAATGAATATGAATGTACCTGTCTCACGTTGTCTCAACATCCCTTTTTTGGAGATAATCACGTGAGGATTCGCATGTTTCCGTGTTTCCGAGCTGCATGAGTTCAAACATTGGATTTTTGCAAACAAAGCTCAATTACCAACAGAATGACTACATTGGTTACGTATGGTCGGAGGATTAATTTGCGGAGGAGTCGGGTGATGAGGATACGCATTTGGAACGAATGAGATGAAATGGGGACTATTGCAGAATTGAGTAACAACAATATGTACCAGTATAAACATTATCCAGTGAGATTGACAGATTCATCACTCTTTTCTGGCGGACATGCACCAAACAAAGTACCATATGTGGAAATCTAGGACCCTAAAATTTTCAGCCTAAAAAAATTTTTTGTGGTGAGCCTTTTACCACGAGATTCACCGATAGCCGTTTTCCAATTTGAAATATCGGTATGATAAGTTTCCTATCGCTTGATGCTTGATATGGAAGATTACCTACGCAAGTACTGCGTAACATTATGTTGTGTGCAACCATTCGTACACGATTTTTCATGCTCTGTTAGTTAATTCGGCATCCTCTTGTGAACAATCTGAGCACTGTCTGACTGCACCCTCGCTTCCTTGTGGAACATCCCCCAAATTCTTGCTCCTCAATATACGTATTTTTACTGTAGTTGGGTAGGCGCCTTGTTAAAAAGAAATTTCAACCAGTTTGTCTGGTTTGGGAGACACAACTTACTATTGCTTTGTTACTAAAGCTGTGTCAAGATATCGTTTTTGTTCTTTGACACCGAGATATATATCGTCATAAGCGTAAACTCGCACGGAGTCTTAAAAAGCTTAACTTATTATCAGAGATTTTTTTTATCCTTAAATTATTTTTATAGTACAGTTTAATTCCCTTTGCTAACCTTGAGAAAAAACTACGGTCCTTCCGCAAATTTTTTGGTGAAAATAATTTTTGAACCGAACGTTAGTAAAAAATGCAGTCGCCATCAACGATAGGTGATTTTCCGCACTCTCCACCTTCGGTCCGTTCCAAACGCAACTTTGGGTTGGAAAATCAGTTCGAGACATTTATGCAACAGCAGCAACAGCAGGCGGCAAAGGCGCGTGCTTCAGCCCCCGTCGCCAACAATAACGCTACTCAACCTTCGAACAACACCACCACAGCCAACAGCACACGGAATACTACACAACGACCCGGGGTAGCAGCAAGTTTCCTGTATAAATTAACGGAATTTGCTGCCTATACTTCAGCTTTCGCTACGGAGGCATACCAAACGTTGACTGTTGGAGCGAAGGTTGAACAGGAGGTACTCAATAATGGAGCTTCTAGGTCACGAAAAGGTTACAGTCAATATTTCGATGAGGACTTAATGCAAATTGGTGACAATTCAGACGATCCCGACACCATCGATGAGGATATTGTTGACCGTGGAATCACTAGGAGCAACGGCAACCTGAACGGAGGTGAAATGGAAAATGAAATTGATAGGAAGGGACAATGTTCATGGGCAGCAACGAACGACGACGACGACGAACCTCCACCACCGTATGACAGTTCTTGGGCAATGGTCAGTTGCATCTCATTATCTTCTGTTTGTCTTCAATTCCAGGTTTACGTAAAATAGTGCATTCATATATATATATTTCTTTTTTAGCCAACACAATCAGCTCCAAAAGATAATAGAATTTCTACTCTTGGTCTGCAGGATTCTGCTACCGTGACATCCTCCCCAAGACAAATACAATTTGCTACTACTTCCGTCGAGCCAATGCAGCAAGAATCTTCTCCAATTGATATCTCATCTACTACACCGCCTGCATCCGCTAAGCGTAGGCAAATTCGTGTGCGTCGTCCCAGACGACCGCTCCGTCGCAAATCCTCCTCGAATGATATTTCAGCTCAAAGGGGATACGAAGATCAAGACCAAATGTTACTTAAAGTTAACGAGAAGCTGGCCGATATGATCACTCAGGGTAAAGCCGCATTGAGGAGTACCGTCAATGTCACAGAAGTTGAAATTATGTTAGCTGAGGAAAAAGAGCGAAGCGAACGTATAATGAAAGAAGTTAGTCTTCAAGCACCGACCAATCGACGGAGAAGGAACACCGGTTCTTCGTCAGATTACGATTATTACGGAGGCTCATTATCAGACTCGGGAAGTTATTCGGCACCGGAATCATCATCATACTGCGATTACGGCTACGGTCCTTGTAGTGGCCCTGAATCGCCAAATTATAGGCACTCGTCACCCATTCATCACAATACGCCCACACAATATGGTTCGCCTGGAATGTTCGGTCCATCCGTCGGATATAACTTGGCAATAAATAGTGATTACAGTATGTTGGGTAGTGGAAGATATATTGATTCACCGGTGGGTGGTACAGGAAGTTTTCCTGGAATAACACAGGCTTACAACGGTTCTTCGTCGTCGGGTCGATTTGGCAATGTGCCATCAAACAGATATGGTGGTTCTATGTCACCAAGTGCATATGGAAATCCCGGTTCCAATAATGTTTATTCGAAGCAAAATGGGGGCCCTTATACTGGTGCTAATAACCATGGAATATATAATAATCGGGAATTTTCATACTGAACTTATCCCTTGTTTTAATAGAGATACATAGAAGCTACTTTTATACATTTATTATTATCTTTTCGTTACGTCAAGAAAGGAAGGGTTCTAATTTGAGGGAGGATATGAGTGAAATTAACTTCAAAATTATTTTATTTTTTATTAACTTTATATTAGAAGACTGGTCTTCTGGTTTTTTTTCTTTAGAATTTCATGTTAGGTGATGAGGGGGTATATTTGTATAATATAATCTCCAGTATCACTTAGATTTCCTAATACTTTTATTCTTCTCTCTTCGTTTCTCATTCCCTATTGTCTAGACACTATTTTAATTTGTATATTGACAATGGTTTTTTTTAACCTTATGAAAAAAATTGAGTCATACGCACTCGATGAATGTGCCTTTCTCCTACCTTTTCAATTTGTCAGATAATTTTCTCATGTTTTGTTATATTATGTACAACACGTCATTAAATCAAAAAATCTCATTCCTTTAATCACCTCAACCACGATAATTTTTCTTTTTTGTACATATTTTTATTTCGTCTAAAAAAAATCCTTCTTCCCTCCTAATCTCCCTTTCTTTGTAAATTTTTTCCATTATTACATACTTTCGCAAAAATCCTTTTATCAAGATTTCGACTAGATAGTTGATTTTGATTTTGATTACATAAAAGGTTTTTGGATGAAGACATTTTCCATTTGAAATGGAATGAAATAGAATAAAATTTTCTTTTTGAACTTAAATATCTTACTTTCGTCACCTCTAATTATCCGAGATGTTGTATCACTGATATTGGGTGGGCTTGTGTTTCATTGTGCACCTATGTTTTCATGTCATGAAATGACGCGAGTAATCTTTGAATGTGTCCAAGTTCATATCGTGCATTGAAAATAGTAACACTGATTTTCGAACTTTGTGCATTAATTAATATATAACCGTTATTCATCTTTGTTAATCCTTGAACTGTCACTATTCATCTATCTTGAAATGTCTAACGTGAATAAAACGTAGGAATGCTCCTCTTTCAATTTGATACTATCCATACTTATTAAATATTCGGTGCAAGAGCATCTACTATATTTTAAACGTCTCGTGGTTTCTGTTTCTTACTATTTTATAAGAGATTGAAGAATGTATTACAATTAAACTGCAATAGCTTTGATATTAACACCGATCAAATTATGGATGTTTTTTCGAATCTTCAATCGTCCCCGTAAATATATACTTAGTATTATTTTTATTTCTTTTGCAAATGAAATATATTATAGAACTGGAATTAATATAATGAAATTATTTTTGTAATTCTTATTATTTCAGAAATATAATATATAAATAAATGTGATTTTTATTTTCTTTTACAATTTTTTCATTACTTAAAACTAATTATATTTATATTATGATCTAAATTCTTGTTATATCTAGTTTACTTGATTCTTATTAAAAATTAGATTTTAAAACATTTCAAATCATTTTTTCATAATGAAACAAATATTTTTTTATTTTCATGTTCTAAAATTTTTTGATTAAATTTTTTTAATAAAAATTTTTAGAATTTATTATTATTATTATTTATTCCAGATAATTTTTATCTTTTACAATTTTTTTATCATGTTAAAAATCAATTGTATTTTTTTATTATCAATATTAATTCTTAAGTAATATTATTTTAAAAAATTTTTGTTATAATTTGTTTTTGAAATATTGATGACTTATAATATATAAGTATTGAAATATTGAAACTTATAAAATAATTAAAGTAATAATAATTATTTATCAAAAAATTATATAATAAAAAAAAACTTAAAAAAAAAACTTAAAAAAAACTTAAAAAAAAACTTTAAAATTAAAAAATTTTAAAAAATTTTCTTTTTTTTAATAATTTTAAAATATTTTAAGAAAAAACTGTATTTTTTTTAAAAAATAAAAAAAAAACATCAGATATATAATTGTATTCAAAATATTGTTTGATATTTTATTAAAATAAATAAACATTTGTAATTTCTTATTAAAAAAAAAACAAAAAAAAACAATTTATAATAAAATTTTTTTAAAAAAATCAATACTTTATAAATTATTAATTATACATATATTAATTTAAATCTTTTTTTAAATATTTACAAAATGTAGTCTGATTATATTTGATAAACTAAATAATATTAATCAAAAGGTATTAATAGTAACTAAATACTTGTGTATAACAATATACAATAGAATTTTTACACATGTCAAAAATATTAAAAATCTTGATAATATTAAACTGCAAGAATATAAGGTCAAAATAGTTGCAAGTATAGGTTTTCTTTACAACTATACAATACATTTGTTAAACAACTTTTTAAATATAATTTTTTAAAAATGAATAAAAATATATATAATTTTAAAATTTTTCAAGAATTTACAATTAATTATTATAATAATTATTGAATTGCTTTTTCAATTTGACTTGTATAAAGTATTTCAAAATTATTCTAAATATATTTTTATTGTTTTTTTATTATTATAAAAGAAAATTTAATCAATAATATAATTTTAAATTAAATAATTCTTAATTATTTACTATATATTATTTAGTAATTTTGATATATGGTTTTGAAAAATATCTGAATTCAATTTCATGATATAGTTATATCAATAATAATTTTTAAAATATATTTAGGATTGCATATATGCTAAAAATAATAATTAAAACAATTATAATTTTAAAGATGGAAAATTTTTTTTACTTGAATATGATATTTTAATTAAAATAAATAATATCTTATTGATTAAAAAAAGATAAACATGGAACAATTATATTGCTACTTTGATTATAAAGTAGAATGGTTACAAAATTTGACAAAAAACAATAGTTATTAATTAAAAAAACAATTAAGTAACAAAAAATAATTATAATTAGCAAACTTTAACAATATAATATATTTAAAAAAATTAAAAATAACTACTGATAATGATAATGAATTTTTATTTAGTAATGATAATAATTTAATAAAATATAAATATAATAAATAAAATTAGAAATAATATGTATATACTATAGTATATACTGTATATAGTTTTTCTTAATAATTAATAATTAATAGATATTTTGTATTATTAAAAATTTTTAAAATTTTATTAACTTTAGAAATATAATTATATATTATCAAAATTTATCATTTTTAATTATAATTTCTATATAATATTCTTTTCTTCAAGAATTCTCAAAATATCTACAATTTTGAATAGTATAGCAAATTCAAAATGCTATAGTTCAAAAACCAATTGTGAAACTTTTTTGAATTCTAAGTAACTATTTGCAAAAAAATTAAAGAAACAACTTGTTAAGGCTTCAAAAGCAATTGTCTTGATAATATTTTAAGTAATTTCACTTTTTTTCTTATAGATAAAAAATATTTATTTAAATTTGATAAATAATAAATAATTTCAGTATTAACAAATAAACAAAAAAACAATAACTTAATAATAAAAAAAAATTAATAATTTTTATTAACTTCAACAATTAATTTTAAAACAATGGAATTTATAAATAAAGCTTTAGTAAAATTTTTTGTTTATTGTGGAATTTCATTTTCAATTACTAATTATTTATTTTTTTATGATTTTTTTATATAATGGTTTACCAATGAATTGTGGACACTTGAATCTTTAATCATACAATATTGGGCAAATAAATTATATATGAAATTTTTACCATATATTTGATAATTCCCAGGATAACATACTAAAATTTCATGTCATTTGATTACATTATACAAAAGTTATACAATGAGCAAGACAAATTATTGTTTTTAAATTAGGACGAAAATCAATTTTCTTTTTTTAAAAAAAAATTTTTTTCAGTTTTTTCTTCTCAAGATCATTTGTGATACTTAGCTAATACTACTTTAAGCAAAAAAGGTAAGTTTGTATAACAAGTCAGTTAAAATTAATATAAAATGAGATTTTTTTTTATGGTGATTGATGGGTAGCAAGAAAGATCTAATGGAGATTCAACGAAGTTTTATAGTCTATGATCACTTATGAGGACAATTTGATATCAAATTATATATTTTGGCATATTTTTTATATTTATAATATTGGGTTAGTATTTTTTATTTAAATATATATACAGTGTGTAACAAAACTTTTTGAAATTTTATTTACATGACATAAATGTGAATAACTTTTTCAAAACAAAAGCAATTCACGTGAAATTTTAAACATGTAAACAACATATCTTAA